ATCCTTAATCAAACCCTAAAACTCCTATTTAAAGCTCAAGGATTTCAAATCAATGGCTAGGATCGAATTTGGAATGATTTAGGAGGGAAATCAGAGCCCCCTAGCCGTGGTTTTGAATTAGAACTCATTAGGAATGATTTAATGGCTTTAAATAGGATTTAAATGGGTTGAATTGACCTATTAAGGGCATGGTTTGAACAAGTCAGAGTTTGACTTGGTCAAACCAGTCAATTATGTCAAAGGAGTGAGGGTTTTGAGCCAAGCATAGGTTTGAATTGGATTGAATTTGAATAAGGGAGAATTTGGCCTAATTAGGCCTAGTTTGACTAAATTGAGCTAGGGTTGACCCAAGCATGGGTTGACCCAGTCAACATGCTCTACTAGACCTAAATAGGTGGAGGGTGGGTTGAGTCCAAGAAAGGTTGGAATTGATTAAAAAAAGATTTGGACTCAAAAGGGTCTAATGGGTCAACATAGGTCAACCTAGGTTGACCCAAGGCATGGATATGAGCTCAAAAGGCTTGGTCTGATCCATGGGACACAAGGGAGGTGGGAGATTGATCCAAGAAGCTGTGAAATTGATTTTAGATCAAATTGAAGGGGTTTGGGTCAATTTGGGTCAACCCATGACTTGGGTCTGGGCTCAGTAAACTTTGCTTGACTCCCTGAACCCATTGGGAAGGGTCTTGGGGTCTAGCCTGGTCAAATTTGACCAGGTCAACTCTTTGACCTAGGTCTAGGGGAAAAACAGGTCAACATAATCTTTTGGTAGATTTTCAAGAGAATGCTCCAGGCCATAAGGGAGACAATAACTACCAAGGATTAAATCGAGAATTGATTATTATGAGTTTTGTTTTCTCACCTTTTTAGATGCTTTCTTAAAAATGACGTATTTTTTTTCTTTTTTTCTCTTTATTTCTAGAATGAATTGAACCCCTTTTATGAGAATTACATGTAGTTATGTTCTACCCTATTTATTTATTATTAATGTAATCATTTGATTTTTATGCTAAAATGTTGCTATATATTTTACAATCCATACTTTATTACTTGTGATTGATTGATTAATAATTAAAAGTTTTTAAGTTTATTCAATATTGAGAGGTGGAAATTAAATTCATTTTAATTTGATTATCATGATGGAGCGTAAAACAAATTGTTTACATGAAATCATATAATCATTTAGATTTATTGTACAAAATCTATATTGATAGATTAGTGATCTTAAGTTTTTCAGAGGATGATAAGGTACATTGTAGGATCTAATTACAAAAATCCTTTGATGTTATTTGATTTGTGTTACAATTAATCCAACATAACTAATTTTGGTAAAATCATATCCCTAACTATCCCTCTATGTGTTTTTCAAAGCTAGTATATTTAATTTTTTTTATAAAACTTAAACCTATTTTTAATCAATTAGATAAAGTTAGAATCAACCAACTTTTGATACATTTGAGAGCATAATCTTGCATGTGTGTTCTCCCATAGCAAGATTTTTGCACCATTGATTGAGATTGATTATTACTAATATCGATACCAATTTAAATTTAGCTTTGCATCAAACATGTTTTTATTTTTATTTTATTTATATGGTTTGTTTATCTTTTTTAGGGGCTCTTTGTAATGCATAAGTCATTTTGGTGGTGAGTCACTGCTTTTTTTTTTTACCCAAAAATCAAAAGAATGTTGTAGTAAAATCTAATAGAACAAAGCCAGAACATTAGAATACCTCACCAAGCTAGGAACAACCCAGAAGAAATCATTATGGATCTTGCTATAGATGCCCAAAATTATGCAATGTCAACTAGTCATGACATCCCCCATGAAATCATTAATTATAGAATCCAACCTAATAATTTTAAAATCAAGCCATCACACTTTAGATTATTCACAACTCTCAATTTTGAGGCCTAGCCACTGAAGATCCCAACTACTACATCATTATTTTCATGGAAATTTCTAATAAATTGAAATATAACATAGTATCTAATGACACCATTTGCCTATGAATTCTCCCATTTTCATTGCAAGATCAAGTGAAAAGTTGGATCAACTTGTTACTAGGTTACTTAATCATTACTTGGGATGAGTAAGAAAAAATTCTATCAAAATACTTCTTAACAATAAAAACAGCAAAGATGAAGACTAAGATTTCTAACTTTTCCCATCTTTAGGGCAAATAGTATATTATGCTTGGGAATGCTATAAGGACTTATTAAAGTGGTACCCACATCAGAAGCTAATCAATTGGATAGAAGTCAAAACCTTTACAAAAATATGGATAAGAACTACAAGGATGCTAATTGATGTTATAGCTAATGGAACATTTATTAGCAAGATTAATGAGATAGACAATGGTGTCTTGAAAGAGTTGGTCATGAATAATCATCAATAGCCAATTGATCAAAGTCTTTCTAAGAAGATTGAAGCTGTTATTCAATATGTTGATATTATAACTCTCGGTACTTAAGTTCCTTTCGTCGAAGTAGCTTAATATATTCACAACCAATAGGGCCACATCCTTATAGTCTGTTATGTTTTTTTTTTTTAGGCGCGCACCCAAATAGTGATTGTCAAGAAAATAATCTATTCGCATAGTCTCATTTGAGTATATATATTTTGCGTGGAACAAAAATAATAAAATCATTTGTATGCTAGCACTTAATACTAGATATAGAAATCTATATGACAACTAGATGGTTCTTAATAACCATGAAGATTTCATCAATAATCATAATTTCACTAATTTGGATGCATGCCATAGCATATGGAGGAAAATGTCTTACTGAGGGATGCTCTTGTATAATTTATTTTGATTATTACACAATTTATGTCATGAACTAAGACCACCCAACAACAGCATGAAATTTGTCTCCAGTGATAGGACATTATCATAAGGAATATTAAAGTGGATTGACTAATAATTACAATAACTTTTAGCGAGATAAGTTGGTGCCCTTTCAAACAACACTAAAACAAATTCGCGCGCGCGGGGGGGGGGGGGGGGGGGGGTGGGGGGGGGGGTCTAAAACATTCTTATGTTAAAGCCCTAACTTTGAGTAGTGGCAAGGAACTAAATGAGTTAACCATTAAGGAGAATGCCAACAACAAGAAAATTGAGGCTAAGGAGAAGGCTAAAGAAGAAGTGAGGTTAAGGTACAAATTATTTCCGAATAAGTTGGCTCCCTACTTCCATTTGTTGTTGCACCCAAAAAGATTCTAGAAATTGAAGCTAGAGAAATAATTTTCAAAGTTCCTCGACGTGCTAAAGAAACTTCGTAACATCCTATTTGCAGTGCATAGGAAATAAATTGAGCTATGTCAAAATAATGAAGGAAATTTTATTGAATAGGATGAATTAAAATATTATAAGACTATGACATTGATAAAAGGATACAATAATATACTGAAAAGTAGGCTACCCACTAATAAAAAATATCCAAGTTACTTCACTATCCTTGTGCAATCAGGAGTAATCCGATGGCACACTTTATGATTTAAGTATAAGCTTTAATCTCATGCCACTGTTGAAATATAGAAAGTTGGGATTGGGTAAAGTAAATCCAACCACTTTCTCAATATAACAAGTAGACAGCTTTGTGAAATATCGTGAATGTATTGTTGATGATATGTTTATAATTTTTTTTTTTTGTAGATTTTATATTCATGGATCAATTTGATCAATTTAATCAAATTGTTCCAATAAAACCTTTGAAAACCCTCTCAATTGATTGAGCATAGATTATTTGAGCTTAATTGACCTTGACTAAGCCCAAATTGGGCTAATTGGCTCATTTGAGCCAATTTGATATAAACAAAAATTTTAAACCAATTTGGCTAATTTGATCAAATTGGTTGAAATCAACCATTCCAATTGGCTTGAATGAACTCTCCACTAATGAAACTTGATCAATTGGCTCTTGGTTAGACTAATTGGCCTCAATTGACCCAACTTAGCCCAAGCAATCCTCAAGACCATTAATTGATTGTATGACCTTAATTGATCTAGTTGATTGGACCATTCACTTTGAATAACTTCATCAAAATCCAATTGAGGTTATTTGATCATTAATTTGAGGCAATTGACTTAATTGTATCAGGCCACCCAAGTTGACTCATACATCATATTTTAACCTATTGGACCAATTTGACCAAATTGGCATAAATTAGTTTAAATTAAACTCTCTTATTGTGTATCTAAGTAGTTCATACATAAATTAATCCTTAGGACTTCTTAATCAAGCTTAGTTAATTCTTTGACCAAGCTTAGTAGAACTTTAATCTATTTGGATACCATTTTCCTAGTTAGACTTAAGACTCATATTTGATCAATCAAATAGGCCTCCCACAAGGTGTTTGTAGGTCAATCTTAACCAATAGGTCCAATTGATCCTTAGCCAACCCCGTGTAGTGGAATAAAGGCTTGATGTTGTTGTTGTTGTTGTATTCTGTTATACTTGTTGAATGGAGCAATTCGACATTCAGAACTATAAGTGTAATTGTGAAACAATGTAGTAAGATGACTTACAAGGAAGTAAGATGTTTTACAAGGTAAGATTAGTTCTTAAGATTGGTGAATGGACCTAGGTTTGGTCCATATAAGCCCATCGGGCTTCTAATGGTCATGAGCAGAGTTATGGTTCTTGCTTCCTTGAATTGTATTGAACCAAGCCCAATAGGCCAAACTAAAACAACTTGGAAGTTTAAAGAGGGCTAAGAGGACTAGGATGAGTCAAGGCGAGACTCGAATTTCTACATTATGGTTCGATTCAGGCTTTGCCAAAATTGATGTCAACATGCTCATCAATTCCTTTGCATGCAACTTAAAATTGTTGATAAACGATAACTATATGATCATTAACCGAGACATCGGTCATCGATACTAAGACAGTAATGCTAGAGTACTTGTCATCTACATGTTGTTTTAGATTAAAAAAAAAAGAGAGAGAAACAAAAAAATACTAAAAATAAAGCAAAGTTAAACAGTAGGGCTAGTGTTATATATATAATCTCTTCTTAAATAGTTCACTTGTAAAATAGAAATTCACAACTTTTATTAGATAGGCACACAAAACACTCCCATATGGCATCTTCATCCATACAAGCATAAGGAACAAGATGCGCAATCCACTGCAAACTGGTTGGTATTTCCAGGGAGAAAAGAAGAGAAACAAAAATCATCTCCTAAACACTCCTCATAGAAGAATATATAGTCAGAGATTTTATACGCTTTACCTGTAGTATTTGAACGCGTCCTAAATTCTGCTTCTTCAGAAGCAGCACCAATGCTTTAATAATGCAGCATATATGGAAATAACTTGTTGCGTTAAAAATTCTTTTTCACTACTATATTGGATTCTTCACTTTCTTCTTCGCTGAATCCAGAAAAATTTTGAGCTGAGAATCTAAGAGTTCAAGGACCAATCAAAATTCTGATAGACTATATTCACTGGACCTCCATCGTTCAGAAGATGCGTTAAGAGCCCGGTTTTGTTTGCGTCCAGGTAGCCCAGAACCCATTGCAGAATGTCCTTATCCTGTCCAAAATCTGCACTGTACCTGCAAAATGTTGCATTCAATGGTAAGAGATCAGACTAGAATATTTTTAAAGATGTTTGTAACTAAAGCATTTGTACCATTTGATGATTCTAGTAAGATGAACGACTCTCTTCTCCAGATCCACCTCCAGTCCGCCATTAGAGAAGAACTCCCTAGCAGAGTGCCGTAGTTCAACCTCCACACCTTGGGCCGAGAAGAAGCGCACCCTTGGGCTCGACCGCGCTCCGTTACAGAGTCCAAAATGTATCAAAGGATTCACCTTCGGAAGCACCAGCTCCAAGCGGCGGTCGGAGGAGCTAAGAGGCTTAACAAAGGAGTAAGGAGACCTGCGATTTGATCGAAGAATACCGTCCTTAATGGCTGAAAGCGAGTAAGGGTATCCTCCCACAATATACAGGAAGTCATTGAAGAAAGATCTCCGATCAATAGTCCCAGGGCGGCCGATCCTTATATTGGCGTGGATGACCATCGCGTTGTAAAGGTTGAGGAAGAAGGCGGTTCTTTCGTCCGTCGAAAGGCTGAAGATGTCCACACGCTGAAGGTCCTGCACAACATTCGTGTACCTTCGGAACTCCTCGCTGGAGCCAATGCGATTGTAGTCGAGGTGGCTGTGATCTTCGGAGGCGTAGGCTTCGAGGATGGCGGACATCAGTTTGGTGAGGCGGTGGCTGACGGCGAGGGCTGGTTTCGGTTGGTCGTCGTTGGTTGTGATTCTAAAGTTGAAGCATTTAGAAATGGACGGGTCGTGCTCAAGAAAGCGGTAGAATTGGTTGTTACTGTCTTCGAAGTCGTTATCTCTGTAGGAAGGAAAGGTAAGTTGAAGATCAGAAAAAAAAAACGGAATTTTTATTTGTGTTGCAGAAGTGGAGATGATTGATTGCTGAAGGAGATAGAAGGAGACTTTACCGGAAGACATGGTGTATGAAATACCTCCTTGCTAGTTCTTTTCCAATTTCTACCGCCTGTAGTTGAAATAAATGAAAAGGTTACCATAACAACAACAGATCGACTATCGTAAAAATGTTTTTCTTCTAAAGTTTTCTGCTGCATATGAAAAATTAGGTTGATATAATATTCCCCATACTCTGACTAAAATATCGTATATCCTTTAAGAATGAAGCCATGGATATAATATTTCACATCAGAAACAGGTTGTGAAGACGATAACATGGGAAATTGCTAGTTATTATTTGTTTATGGAAGTGGGCGGCTTTGTACGCGTTGCCTCTCATTTCTCAATAAATTATATAAGTTTGACAAACAAATGCCGTTGTGCAGTCTAACCAAATACCAACGGAATTGCTCCATTTGTCAATTAATTTATTCTGTGCGGTCATTGAATGTTTCAGAATGTGTTATATCACCTCTTGTTTAATACCGTAGCTCAATATTATTCGATACCGTAGCTCGGTACTGTTGACACACATTCTGCATCTGATCTTCACACAGAATAATTTCTCTCATTTGTCACCCAACAATAGCTCTTTAAACTAAATAAATATAATTAAATGAAATTTTTTAAAAAAACATTTTTTTTTTTGCTATGGGTGAATAAAAGGAAATTAAAAGCCTTAAATAAATATAATTCAAATTAGGTTTTTTTTTTTTATGGGAAGAACTTGAGGGAATTTTTTTTTCAACAAGGAATATTACTTTTTTATTATTATTAAAATGAATGAATACAATCTCATGCCATTCATGCTTAAGTTTTACTTATCATTTCACTAAGAAGCTATTTTTGGATTGATTACAAATTAAAATTTACATTATGATTCTCCTAAAATAAATTTACTAATTGTAAGATTGATCATCATAAAAATTTTAGTAGAACTTCAGATCTTTTTATGTTTTCCCTTTTTAATCTCTATTCAAGCAGTTCGAAGTTTTAAAAAAATACTTAAAAATTAAAATGGCAAATCTAACCGTGCAATTTAAATCAAACGGTTAGTAGCAAACCAATGATATTTCAGGCAACGGGGAAGCATACCTTTTGCCGGCTGCAATCGAGATGGTTGATGAGGACCTCGACCATATCGGCTCCGGCGAAGCAGTTCTTGACGAGCTTCATCTTCGTGATCCGATCCTGAATCGGCAGACGCTGCCGCAAAACCCTAATCACCCCTACCATGGCATCCTCTCGCCGCTCCTTTGCCTCATCTTCGTCGTCAAATCCATAAACCGGAACCCTCGGTGCAATGTCAGGGCACCTTTTCCCGGCCATCTCCCTCATCCTCCGCTCGAACTCACCGCTGTTTCTCAGCGAGTTCAGAGCCACCAACCCGCCGACGAGCCTCTCGTTGAAGAAGATCGCCGGAACGGCGACACCACCCGTTCGATCAACCAGCTCCTTCTCCCTTTCCGTGAACACGTCTACGTTGATTTCTACAAAGGGTAACCCCTTCGATCGGAAAAATGACCTAACGGCACCGCAGTCTCGGCATCCGGAGCGAGAGAAGAAGCTGATTCGACCCTTAATGTCCCCATAATCGCCATCGTCCTCTTCATCCTTGAGGCGGACGATGACCTTAAGGCCGGAGAGATGGAACTCCGTCACCGATTTTGCCGCATCGTCCCCTTCCTTCAGCGATGAGATCCGCTTCACGATTGCGGCAGAGAAGCTATTTCCCCTGTCTCGGATAAACTTTCCGAACGATGCCATGTCCATGGCAGTCGACGATGTCAATGACATCGATCGATCGAGGGGAAGGTAATTTTCGTCGCCGCTCGAAGGTGACCTCATCAGCCCAGCCGGCGCCTCCGGCTGCGGGAAATGAGACGGCGGACGCAGGAGCGTTTCAAGTTTCGAAACGTTATTCCCCGCCTCATCTGCAGCGTTCTTCACACACAAATCTTCGCTTCGCGGCGAATCGCCGGCGCCGGAGTCCTTATCGTTGCTTTTGTAGAGATTCGCGGCCATGTGATCGGTTTCGGAGAGAGGAGAGACGTCGCTGAGCTCCTCCTGCCCCATGGATTTAGGGCAAAAATCAAGAAAGCGTTAGCAAGGGGATCGTAACGGTGTGGAAGGGTGGAGCAGACTCTGTTTCGGGATTAGTTTAGTAATCGTTGAGAAAATTTGGGAACTTATGAAGAGATTAGCGGTGAGAGCGGGTCAAAGACTGCAGGTAATTTCTTCTTTCCTTCCAACGATCTGCTTGATATCTTTGTTGAATCAGCAACACCAGGCCAAGTCGCCGGCGAGGTTGATTTCATAATTTCATTTATATTTGCGCGAATGACGGAAACACCCTTTCCATATATAATTATTGATGGGTTGGTGGGGGCGTAAATAACGCGAAATGTGGAGGGCAACTTGAGGAAAGAGCCTCAAAGAAAGGAAGACTTTGATGGCCTGAAGATATTGGATTTCCAACGGGCATTACAAGGCCTAATGATGTGGGTGACGACTAGATGCCACGTGGAATAATTGAAGCGCGTGGGGCCAACAACTAATGGTGTAGATTGTAGAACAGCCTAATATTAGTAAGTTGCGTTTTCACAAAAAAATTAATAGAATTTTTACCCACTTAAAACTGCTCTATTAGATTTAAATTATAATATTCATACACACCATCTTAATGCAATTTAGTTCATCTAAATTACCACTATATTTTCTACTGTGAAAATGCCCTCCCATAATAGGTTTTATTTTTATTTTTTATTTTTTTTATATCCCCCCCCCCCCAATAGGTTTGATGGTTTGATGATACATAAAATGGTTGTCAGTTTTCTTGTGTTGCTTGTTCTTCAATTGATTTAAAATTTTCTCTTGTCTTGCAATGCAACATTAGCTGTTACTTGTTAAAAAAAATGGTACAAAAAATCCTTAATCCTAATATTATTTGCATTTACAGATATGGATCTGAATAACTTATGCTGCATTATCTTCAAATTTAGTGGATATTAGAGTGCATTAAAAGGCCAGAGCTGAATGAAATATGTTGGTGGTAGTCAGAAAATTATAATGCTTGAGAGAAATGAAATTAATTTATTATTGTTGAAAGAACAAACTAAAGCATTTTGTACATGGCTTAGAGGTCATGCCTTTGACTTACAGTATCATATTAATGGAACATCGCCTAAACTTTACGTGTCAATTATGAGTGATACTGATGTGCTTGATATGCTTACCAGAGTCTGCCGCTCTCGCTTTATTTCACACGCCGACGCCGTCCGTCTAAGGCCATGGCTTTAACATCATCATCTCCTCTACTCTTTCATCTGCTTTGTCCACTTCTTCCTCATCCTTGCTCGAAACATCACGAGACAGCAACATTAGACTGATCGCAACGTCCTCCTCCGGCGTGGTGTCGGAAACACAGCTAAGCCCTTTCGCCTCCTCTGCTTTGCGGGAGGAAGTTGAGGAAGATGAGTAGTCGGAAATAAGCGATTTCACGAGACGGCGACAACGTGAGAGCGCATGTGGCCGCCGAGTGCGCGGCCATTGGAAAAGCTTCGGTTACAGAGCTTGCAAACATGCCTTTCCATGGCCGAGAAGCAGAGAGATCAAAGAAAGGGTAGATTCAGTTAGCTATTTCTCTTTCTTCTCCCTCTACTCCATTACAAAATTGCTTTGCTGATAGATCTTCTTCTTCACTCAAAGAGGGGAGAGTAAGAGCGAGTGGGAACTAAGAGGAGTAGGTGACAGGCATTCTTCCACCAAAAGAAACCCACAAACAAGAATAGAAGGCGTGGTGCTGCTACAGAACTGGACAACTAGAGAGAGTGTAACGATAAAAAAGGAGTTTTTTTTTTAAATTTAATTTTAAGTATTTCCGTCTATGTATAAAAAAAATCATATTTTGAATTTTATTAAAAACTTTGTTAAGAAACTCTATATTAAAATAGTGGTATGAATTTTATTAAAAAAAATCATACTTTGAATTTTGTATTATGCATCTAGGACAAAGTAGATATATGACAGAGGCATTGGTTTGAACCTCTGCTGTATCTTCATGGAAAACTAAGTGGATTGGTTAGCAATCCACCATACACACCAAGCAGTCATATTCCTGGCTTACAAGCTGAAGTTGGTAAACATGCGAATCTTTAGCTTATTTTTGACTGATCGAGCTGCTGACCACTAACACCCGTGCTTGAACGTCTGAGCTACTTTCGGCCTAGAGCGATAGCTTTTTCCCGCTGTGAATCTTGAGCTTTTTTTAATTTTCTTGGTGGTCGGTAAGAGGTGTTTTCGGGTGCATGCGATTAGATGGGAAGGGGTGAGAATTTGTTTGTTTGTTTACCTTAATTCTATTTAGGTTTACATAAATTAAATTATATTAAAAAATTTTATAACATCAAATATTACTAAATATTATAAATACATTGCTTTTATAGATATACTTATTTTAATGCTAAAATAAATTATTACAAAAAAATGTTTTTACTTTACTCTGGATATACCTAACCAAACATGGTAAACACTTCTCATGTGTTTATTTTGCATACAACCAAACATGCTCAAAGTATTTAGAATGCATTACATTTACATTATAATGCATTTACTTTACACTGCATTTCCTTTTCAGGCAACCAAACAGCCCCTTATTATTGTTGAAAGAACAAACTAAAGCATTTTGTACATGGCTTAGAGGTCATGCCTTTGACTTACAGTATCATATTAATGGAACATCGCCTAAACTTTACGTGTCAATTATGAGTGATACTGATGTGCTTGATATGCTTAACAATTCTTGTGAAAGAAATAGAATGGAGGTGGTGGTTGCAGTGAAAGATCATGATGAAGACATTGGTCATTCACAAAATATTCAAGCTGCAGTGTAATTCAATCAGGTGATATGCATGATTTAAGTGCAAACAACGGGGAGAACAATGACATAATAGTAGATGGTTTCTTTGCAGCTCACGTTGAAGGGGAAAAATCTCTCGGTGTTGTTCGCGCTTTGAGGATTCATTAAGTTTCAATCAAGTAATTAGTTCTAATGCAATTTTATATAACTTTGCTATTAAGATTAAGGCTAGTAACGAATCCAAAGTTGTAACTATTTGTATATATTGTGGTTGTCCATGGCAAATTCGTACTTTATTATGTCTAGATGGTCATGTTAAGCTGGCCCAGAAGGGTCCAGCTGGACCGGTCCACGTCTATTCCAGACGGAATAGGAGGGAGGGCCTCATGGTGGGCCCAAGCATGAGTGAAAATTAGTATTTGAGGGAAGTTTTGAATGGGAAGGGCTGTTTTGGTATTTTGTATGTCTCCTTTATGGTTAATTAGGCGCTTATGAGGGAATTAGGGATTATCTTGAGTTTAAATGAAAGTTTGAGATCTCGTCATGTGCTTGGGTTCTAGGGTTTGCTAGAGACTTGTGGAGAGTTGTTCTTTCTCTCGAATTGAGGAACATTGTATCTTTTGTTGTTTTCAATCATCTACTAGTGGAATACAAGTTGTTTCTTGATTTTTCCTTCAAATTTCTCTCTATTTTCTTGTCTTAGCTGTTGTCCACTGCTGAAAACATCAATTTTCTTATTGTTTTCCTCTACGATTTTGATTAGATTTGCTTGCAAACTCAAGTATTTCCTATCAAATTGGTAATGTTAGGCCGACCCAGGAGGGGCTGACAGGACCGGTTCACGTCTATTCCAGATGGAGCAGGGGGGGGATGAGAACTCATGGTGGGCCCAAGCATGAGTTAAAATTAGTATTGGAGGAAAATTTTGAATGGGAATGGCTGTTTTGGTATTTTGTATGTCTCATTTATGGTTAATTAGTGCTTATGAGGGAATTATGGATTATCTTGAATTTGAATGAAAGTCTGAGATCTCGTCATGTGCTTGGACTCTAGGGTTTGCTAGAGACTTGTGGAGAGTTGTTCTTCCTCTCAAATTGAAGAACATTGTATATTTTGTTGTTTTCAATCATCTACTAGTGGAATACAAGTTGTTTCTTGATTTTTTCCTTCAAATTTCTCTCTATTTTCCTATGTTGGCTGCTGTTCACCACTGAAAACAACAGTTTTCTTGCTATTTTCCCCTCCGATTTTAATTAGGTTTGCTTACGAACTCAAGTATTCCTTAGGGTTACTTGCGAACTCAAATATTTCCTATCAGATCACTTCTTTAAAGTTAGAATATTACACTCAACGTATTTATGCCCAAGAGTAAACTGAGAAGGAAACAAGCAAGCTATTACAAGTTGGGTTGCTCATGAAATCATGGATACTGTGAAAAGAAATCTTGATATTACACCAAAGGACATTGATTATAACTTGGAGACTATTTTTGGATTGTTATTATCATACATGAAAATGTGGCGTTCAAGTGAACTAGCAATAGACATAATATTTTGCTCAATAGATGATAACCGCAAGCTTTGATGCACGGACATAGATATGACACGGACACGTGACACGTCAATTATGAAAATTTATGATATGAACACGGGTTGGATACACTACAATAATTTTTATATTTTAAAAATAGTATATAAAAATTGAATAAGCATAATATCAAAAACAAGTTAGAAATAATAAGTCATTTAACTAAAATTTGTGTTTAAAATAATTAATATTAGGATGTCGAGAGTCAGTGTCGATGTAGTGTATTAGACATCGAGAAAGGAGATGGAAATGCTATCGAGAGTCAGGAATTGATGTTATGCAGTAGGTATCGAGGGTCAATGTCAAGAGGGCTTCTGTCGTCAATATTGAGAGGGTCTAGGTCATCGTAAGAAGGCGTCGGATAAAAATGAGCTATCAAGTTATGGGTGTAAAAATTGCTAGTGACATGCATCATTGTTAGGACAGTGTCAGAATTTGATATTGAGATGGTTTTGGAATGTTGATGTTGTAATGACATCAAACGTCGACGTTAAGATGACATTGGGCATTATTGTGAAACTAAAATCACGACCGCCAAAGAGAAATGAAATTGAGATTATTCGATGAATGGGGCATTGCGTGCAAGCGATTGATTTGGTGTTATGGATAGGAAATAAAAATTTAGTTTTTATAATTTAAATAATTAAAAAAATTTAAATATAAGAATCTATATTGAAAAAAGTTCATAAAATATTAGGACACGCGTGTCCAATTGTATTTATTATTTTTTTAATCGGACATATTTTCGACGTGTCTAATACGTATTAGAGAAGTGTCAAACGCATGTCGTGTCAAATACGTGTCTGACACTGAACACCTTTTTGAGGAGAAGTGTTGGTGC